AGGACAGGTTAAATTGATGTCATATTCATTGAAGATCTGGGAGAGAATTGTGGAAGGAAGGTTAAGGCAAGAGACAGCTATAGATGAGGAACAGTTTGGTTTCATGTTGGAAAGCAGAACAATAGATGTGATTTTTGCTCTAAAGAAGTTGATGGTGAGATATAGAGAGATGCAGGCAGAACTGCATATGATATTCATAGACATAAAGAAAGCAAACAATAGGGTGCCTAGAAAGGATGTATGGAGATGTGTGAGGGTAAAGGAAATACCAGAAAAGTATGTAAGACTTGTAAAGGAAATGTTTAAGGGAGCAATGACTCATATGAAGAGTAGTATAGGTGTGACAGAGAGATTCACTACAAGAGTTGGACTGCACCAGGGCTTAGCCTTAGACTGTTTTTGTTCAATTTGATGATGGATGTATTGGTGGAAGATGTGAAGAGAAAGGTACAATGGAGTATACTGTTTGTGGATGATATGCTGTGCAAAACATCTCAAGATAAGGTAGAGAAGAAGCTGGAGGAATGGAGAAAAGTACTGGAAGGGAGAGGCATGAAGATCAGCAGAGCAAAGACAGTATATATGACATCTGGTGGAGGGGATGAGTTAAAGTTAATAACAGCTTCCAAATATAATATCTTGGATCATATATATTGTATGAAAGTGATGGAAGAATGAGTGCAGAAATCCAGTGTAGAGGTCAGAGTGGATGCCTGAACTGAGAAAGATGAATGGGTGATGTGTATTAAGAAAATAAGATGCAAAATGAAAGTAAGATTATAAAAACCTTGGTAAAATTTGCAATGTACAGTGCCAAGACAAGGGCAATTAAAAGAGTCCAGTAAAAGAAGATGGAGACAGCAGAGATGAGAAATCTGAGATGGAAGTGTGGTGTGAGAAAGGACAGAATTAGGAATGATTACATAAGAACAGTCAAAGTGTGTCCTATAAGTAAGAAGATGCAGGAAAGTAGATTAAGATGGTTTGGACACGTGGAGAGAAGTCAGGACTATGTTGGAAAGAGAATTGGTAGGTTGGAGGTGATAGGGAGAAGAAAGCATGGAAGACCAAAGCTGAAATGGAGAGACAAAATGGTAGATCTGAGCAAGAGGCAAAAGGATGCTCTAGATGGAGAGAAGTGGAAAAGATAAATTAAACATGGGAATGCTGATCTTATATAAAGATAGAAAAAAGCTAAGACAAAGAAGATTCCTGTCTATTATTTTACTAATCAGGAGTCACTGATGTGACTTCCTGCCAAGTAAAAAAGTCATTGCATTATAGGGTAGATACGTTCCACTTTATAAGAATTTCACGTTGTAGGAATCCTTAAATACATGAGCCAATCACAGCCCGGCATGTGTGCAGTTTACAGAGTACGGCTGTTTGAAAGGTTTTCTTCCATAAAATTAATCGATTCTAGACTAATTTGACTCAACATTTCCAAAACACGTATAATTTTTTGGGAATAAGCCATATAAACTATGCTATAAACAAAAAATTGTAGGATTACTTACTGAGTGTGCACCGTTCGACGATGCCGTTACTTAATCTTGTTTTCGTCGTGGAGATTGTCATCAAATGGCGCTCGCGTGCTTCCTGATAAATTATTTTTCTGTGAAAACTTTGCTGAACTTTGGAGACATCATTAATATAAATATAATTTTTATGGCCGTTAAATAATAAATGGTTTTTAGTGGGTCCGCTGCTTGTTTAAACTCAACGGTTTGTGCAATATCCACTATTGGTCTAGATTCGATCAATCCTGTCACGACACGAGTTGGCGATGACATTTTACTGAATTATATGAGTCTCTTTTAGCGTGTTTATACGAATACGGTCACAATTTTTTCACCCTGATATATGAATCTGCATTATAAGGACACGTGTTATAGGGGGGTTAACTGTATACAGGAATCAGAATTGCCAGTTTTCGGGAGTCAATTTCTCTGTCCCAAACACTTCAAAGTAATTCCAAATATCTCATTTGAAAGAAAATTGTTTTCTTAGTGGGCAAACTTTCAAGATTTTCTATAAAGCTGTTGCTGAAATATAATTAATTGAAACGTGAAAAAATCACCAAAAAAGCTGTATTTTTTTCTTCATTTTGCACTGCAGGCACTTGTAGAGAAAAAACTAAGGGGATTAGAAAACTGAGATTTTAAACTTAAGTCTTTCTTGTTGTCATTCAGGTGTTTACGAAACTGCTGGGTTGATAGGTCAAAGTTTACAGGGGTTTCCCATAGAGCTAATTCAGTTTTACAGTCTAATTTTATGCTTATAAGGATAAAATTGCATGGAAACAAATGAATTTTATTCAAAATGTTACTCAGAATAACAAAAACTGAAATTTATGCCAATTAAAACTGTTTATATCAATTTTTCTAAATGGTGTATCAAAAGTGTCAGTTGGCAATGCATTCAATTGGTAGTGTGTTAATCGGTGCCAACTGAAATGAATATTGAAAGTGTTTGGTTGATGACACATTCAGTCGGATTTTGCCAAGCGCTGATTGAATTTATGTCTTGACATAATAATACAATTATTTAAACAAAAACATTTGAGATGTAAAAAAAATTTACCAAGTAAAAATTTATGACAATTTAGATGACAGACAAAATTTTTCTTAGCAGTTTTTCTTTGGTATAGATAAGCTTGACACTTGGAAGTAGTACCCACAAGATTTTTGTTTATATTATTGTTTTATACATTTCACCTCCTAGCACAAAGTTTATCTTTACCAAAGAAAAACTCTTAAGAAGAATTTTGTCTCTCGTCTAAATTGTCAGAAATTTTTACTTGGTGAAATTTTTTTACATCTCAGATGTTTTTATTTGGATATTTCTTTTTAAATTGCCTATTTCTTCTATTTTAATATTAAATAAACTTATTACTCCTGATATTAAGGAAAGTTCTTAATACATTATTTGGGATATTAATGTTAACTTTTTTTTTAATTTACTTATTTTGCCACTTTCCATTCATTTAAGTTTGAATATCCAAATAATTTATTCAGTTATATATTCATTCTGCTGTTGATAAGCTGCTTGATCATTTATATGTTCTGAGTTATTTCTGTCATATTTTCTTCTTATTTTAATATCTAGTAAATGTAGGGTTTTACTCTTAAAACAAATTGCTGATTTTAGAATCTGTTTTTCTGTTTTATAAATGTCATAATGCTGAATGCAAGAGGTGACTGACTTTGGTAAATGCAAAATTCTTGGTATGTATTCCTCTCATAGGAAACATTTGAAATAATTAATTTATGTCTTACATCTGAGTTGTACCTTGGATTCTTGCCATTTTCAAAATAAACCCTTTTTAATAAGACCAATCTAAAAAATAAAAATATGTGCCTGATTTTATTGATTATATATATACAAGTATTCCTTGTACAACACTACTACTACAACATAACCAAAATATTTAACTTGCGTAAATCTTTAACCTCTGTGTAATACGAAATCTCACTTAGAAATCAAACGTTTTCCTAACTCCTTCCGTGGTTCTTCCTCAGGCAAAAAAACAAGCTGGATTTTCTAAAATGAATAAAAACAAAACTTTTGAAGCTATTCAAACAATGCAAAATTCAAATGTCCAGAATTTTTAACGTATCCATTCACGTGGAGTGTTTAAAAATGTTCTAAACTAACAGTTCACATGGATTGTAAAACAGTGTTCTAAAAATAACGATCGATGTGCAGTGTAAAAATTACCAATCCATTTGCAAAAAACGGATTCTTTAGAACACAAATTCAGAGTTTGTAAATAAAATGCAGAATGTTTGAGATTGTATAATCGTATATGTCCAAGTGTTCCCATGGTATCTGTAATTCTGTAAATTTAATTTTCATTGTGCAGTATAGACTGCCAGGCCATTGATGAGAGATGAAATGTTTTTCAATGGCCTGGCAGTCTATACTGCACAATGAAAATTAAATCTACAGAATTACAGATACTATGGCAACACTATGTTCTAGGAACCCTATACTTTCCTGATAGACTTCATCTTTAAATTAATTAATTAATTAAGGTAACTCTGTAGCTAAAATCACAGGGTTTAAATCTGAAGAACATGGAGGCCAAAACATCTGGCAATAACAATTCTCATAAAGGTGTCACAAAGCGGTTTTTTAATTGGATCTATAATATACAAAGAAACACAGTCATACGTGGAGACAATAATGTGTAAACACTGTCTTAATAGTAAACATGTTCTGGTAGACTTTTGACTGATTCCTTTTGATATTATCTAATTAAATGATAAATCAAATTTAAATATATGAAATCTAATCCATGTGAGAATTCTAGAATATTGAATTTGAATAAAATACAGTAGAGCGTCGTTTATCTGAATCAATTGGAGACTGGGGTTGTTCGGATAACTTATTTTTTAGATAACCTATTACGTATGAAAAAATATATTAACCTATCCCATGTTGAAATTTTTCTCCATTGCATGTCGCTTCGCGTTGAATTTTCGTCGATGTTAAGCCTAACGTAAACTTTTTAAAATAATAATCGTGGCTATTGTATCGTTAAAAATTATTTTTTTATTTTGTACAAACAAAATAAATATATTGAAAAAATATAAAAACCAAAAAAAATATACTTTAGAAGTTGATCTAGTATCAAAAACGTTCGATTCCGCACCACACACAGTCCTCAGAAAAACACCACAAAAAAGTGCCAGTGTTACCAGCTAAAACACACACCAACAAAAAAAATATTGGAGTAGCCCAAGATATAGCCAAAGATTGCAGCACCACAGCACTAGCGAAAATTTAAATTTGCCGACTGGAATTCTTTTGGATAAACGACGCTCTACTGTATTTATTTTCTAGAAAAAAAATTTTTTTTAATTAAATTTTCAACTTTTCAAGCTAATTCATGTGACTGCTTATTTCAAATATTTTTATAGTTTTAAAATAATTTAGAGGTATCTTATTTTAACTGAAAATAATTAATTTTTAAGTACTCAAAATTTATATTACAGGTATATAAAGATTGTTGTACAACTTCTGTAGAAGCACCATATTTATGTCATACTATTAATGGCACTATTACAGATATAAAGTTTTGTCCGTATGAAGATGTACTTGGAGTTGGTCACAATATAGGTTTTACAAGCATGCTTGTTCCAGGTAAATAAGAAAATATACATAAATTAGAAGCGATTGTTTTTAAATAAGAATTAAAGTTCAAACTCTATTTAATCCATTTATGTCAAAAGGATTCTAGTTTTGTCAGTTTCAAATATTGACCATTCTAAGATAATGTATTAATAAACACAATATGGGGTGGTTATAATTAAACACTACTTGAACTGAACTGCTGAGCACATGTCAGTGAAATTTTGTATTTTAACTCTTCCAAGTTCTCCTTTAGGAGAAGAAATAGCACTGTTTGGTGAATATAAGAACAATATAGTTATTACTTTAATGTATTCAAAAATTTTTTTAATATGTGAACCCTCTAAGCCAGTTACATTTTTAAAACAACACAATTTGATCTGAAGTCATATTGAGCATTTGGATGGAAAGGCAGAAACATCCCGTATCATTACAAAAACATAGTTTTGTGGGACTAATGAACAAGCTTATTACTACTGGCATATTTAATTAATTTCTCCAAAATGCATTTTAGTCTTATAGCCCTTATCAATTGGATACCATACTAAAAAGAGTCTATGGCAGTGGTTCTTAACCTGGGGTGCGAGAGAAATTTCAAAAATTTAAAAAAAAAATACGAACGAGGTGACCATGTTTTTTACAAACCATGGTACCCAGCAACACAGCACCCCCACTTCTTCATTCTCTACCGTCTCACTTCTACACTCTCTACTTCACCATCTCTCAGCACATAGCACTTGTCATCAGTCGTCAGTTCATGCAGTTAATGTAGTCACATTGTCATGTGCAGTACAGAAACTAGTTGAGACATGTTCACGTACCTTGAATACAGCACTTTTGCACATCAAAACAAAAGCCAGAAATTGCTTAAATGCATTTGATGATTTATGCATGGCTCTTTCAAAAAAAAGAGCCTCATTTTAATAGAATTATTATGAATAAACAACAACAACCTAGCCATTAAAATTTAAATATTGCTTTTTATGTTATATAGTAATATATATTGTAAATAAACATGGAATTTGTTTATGCAATAAATGTTTTTTCTTAAATAAAAAATATACACGCATTTTTTAAGGGGGTGCAAGAGCTTATTTTCATATTCAAGGGGGTGCTGACCACTAAAAAGGTTAAGAACCGCTGGTCTATGGTGACAATTGCCAACATTGCAATATACCTTAGTAGACAAACAACTTGACACCTAAATACAAATTCCAGTATATAATGAACAAAAAAAACTTTAAGACAGCCGAAAACATATGAACATTAGTTGTAAACTCGTTCTGTTGTCATCATGCCATCGTTGTGTTGTGTTTTTTTGTAAACATTTTACTTCAAGTTTTTTTTTTGTTCATTATATGCTGGAATTCACATTTAGGTGTCAAGTTGTTAGTTTAGTATACAGTTCCAGCTTGTTTGCCAGTTTTTATGTATGACACCTTAGTAGTACAATAATTACAAATTATTACTTATTATTATTATTAGGTTTATAAATTATATCTAAGTCAGTAACAATATAATACTAAAGAAGTCCAGTAAAAACCTTGGGAATAATCCTATCTTCTTTATGGTTATGGTTATTTTCTTTTCTTCTTAGAAGACTCAAGGAACATAAGCACACAATCAACAAGAATGTGAACAGCATGGTTTTAGCCAACTACATCAGGGGACAAGACATAAAGGTTTCATGGGAAGATGCAGCAATAATTCAATTAAATAGAAATCTTAACATTATCCAATACTTAAAAATTTGACAGCCAGATGGCCGAGCAGTCAAGAACGCAGCCTACTGCTTTGGGGACCCAGGATTGAATCCGCACCAGTCAAAAAATCCCCAGGAATTTTTCAGCAGGGTGGTCCGTCTAGATATGTCAGGCCCTGTCCCTCACCACCCGGCTGCCCCATTGTGGGTCTGGCTGAATTCATAATGGGCTTGCCAGAAAGAGGCCTTTTTAATGCCCACAGGGCAGAAAGAGTTTTAAAAAAAATATTTGGAAATGGTTGAAATATTTAAAGCTCAGAAAAACAAACATGTATTAATTTTAGAGGTGCAGACAGTATATCCACAGTATGGAAATATATTTTTGAATTGTGAACTTTGACACTTATAGTCTATCTGTTATTTTTAGTTATTTATTTATGTTTTGTTTATTTTAAAACTTAAATTTTAATTATCAATTTTTATTTTCTTTTAAAATTTTATATTATATGCATTTAAATTTTAGAAATTCAGAATTTGTAATTTTGTGTTCGTTCAATTTTATTTCAAAAACACTAATTTATTTATTTTATTCATAAGTTTTCCTCTGTAAGGACTAACTGAGGAAGACCTATAAACAGGTCAAAAATGATTTTGTTATATTAAAATATTGCTGGAAATTAAAAGGTGTGTTTTATTATTTAATTGTTTTGAATTCCAGTGTACCTTGAGAATATTTTTAAGCCAGGTTTTATTGATATCTGTTTTTGCAAGGCAAAAAGTTTGCAAAATTAATTTATTGCTGGATATATGTTGAGGGTTTAATTGTTGCACAAAATGGATCTCATTTCTTCATATATCTAATATCTAAATAAAAGCCAGTTTCCCATAAAAAAATCTCCTTGAATGGGCATCCCTTTGGCAGATTGTTCATATTTTGCATTAACAAATCTCTAACCTGTAGACCAGGGGTTCCCAACCTTATGCCCATGGGCACACGTGCACCCGTGGAGCTATTTACGTGTGCCTGCGGCAAAGTTTTGAAATAATGAAAAAAAATTAAAGAATTTAAATTAAAAATAAAACAAATAAAAAGTTATTCAGTTTTAAAACCTTTCTAGATGTAGTGAGAAATTTGCTAAATTGGGCCACACTGATCATATTATAATTGTGTCTCCACGACATCTATATTGTATTAGTAGTATGGTATTAGTTGTAAGTTCGTACTGTTGTCATCATGCCTTCTTTGTGTTGTTTTTTTTTTTGTAAACATTTTACTTCAAAATCAGTAATCCAAGTAAAACACAACAATCCTATCATTTTAACAAAGAATGGGAAAGTTTCTGTTCTATGTAATAATATTCTGGTTGACAAGAACAAATGAAAATATAAACTAAATTATTATTTAACAATACTTCTATTTTACTAACAATTGGTTTTTTGATTTTTTAAAAAAAATTTGATTTTGTTGTTTAATGTGGGGACTACAATAATATTATGTGCTGTAAATATTTTTTGTATGCTTTCAAAAATTATCAGGGTATAATCTACTTTTCTTATAAATTACTTGTGTTTTAGGCATCGGTTGTTTCATAGTGTGATTATATAGCCATTTGTCAATAATTTTGTTGGGATAGTTGTTTAATTGAAATATGCAGTATATATGTTCATTTTCTACATTTTGGTGTGCTATATCAATTGTACATAATTTAATTTTGTTTATATACATATTGAATACATTCTTTTTTATATACGTAGGTGTGTTAGAATAGTAATTGATAACCTTGCCAATGTCATGTGGTTTAATGTATTTTTTGAGAGTGATAAAATTATTATATCTTTGAACTGTGATATCTAAAAAGTTCAACATAACATTATTTTCATTTTGTATTTCAAAGCATATATTATTTTGGATATTATTGGTGTATTGAAGTATAATTTGTGGGTCAGTTAATTTAATGTTATAAACAACAAAGCAGTCATCAATGTAGCGATTGTAAAAAATTACACTGCAAAGGTTTTTAATAATGTTCTCAATTTTTATCATGCAAAGTTCAGCAACTTCTGAATCAATACAAGAACTCATAAAGATGCCTTCTAATTGTCTAAAAAATTGTCTTCTATTTATAATGTAATTGAAAAATCATATTAAATTCCTTTGAAAATTCTTTAAAATTTAAAATATGAACTTGTTTATCTAACAATTCTTATATTAATAAAATGAGAGAATTGCTTTATAATTAACTTTGTATATAATTTTATTTTTAATTTTAAAGTATTAAACTAGCTGTATAAGCTCTGTAATATCAGTTACATTTAATAAAATTACTTATTATTTTATATTCACTAATTTAGGTTCTGGAGAGCCAAATTTTGATGCTTTTGAAACAAACCCATTTATGACAAAAAAGCAAAGAAGGGAAACTGAAGTTAAATCATTATTAGAAAAGGTAATCATTTATCTAAAATTTTTAAGTGACCACTTGACTCCTTTCTTTCATTTTATCTTCAATATGAAAATATATATCTATATATATGTATGTATGTATATTATTATTATTATGTGCATATATTTTCATATTGAAGATAAAATATATATATATATATATATATATATATATCTAGTTAGAAAAGATAGAGGTTTAACTGGAGGTATCCAACAGATTAAAATAAAATCATAAAAATATAGTAAATTTAATTTAGCTTTTGTTTTACTAGTAGTAATAACATAATTGATTCTAAATTCAATTAGAACAAAATAGTAGATATAGATAACATATGTATACATTAAACAAGCTAAAACACATACAGGAAACTATAAGTTAAAATTCAATTTTGTAAAGTATTCTAATGTAAATTGGAAAGATTTTTTTTCTGGTAAGCTGGAACATATAAATAATAAATTGTGTGTAATTAGTTGCAACCAGATTTCAGCACTTGATTACCTCACTAAAGTATTTAAGCATAGTCCAATGTTTGTACCAAGAGAGAAGTCCACCCCTCCAGATTCTGTCATCCTAAACATTGAAAAACTTCTTGAACTGGAAAAAAGCACATACAATACTATGCAATTACACTTCCTAAGATGGCAGATGATATTTAAAATGCTGAAGAATAAATATGTTAAAAATGACCAGTGTATTTGGACTGATATCTCTAAAACCAAGAAATGGCTATTGTAGAATAATAATATCTTAACCAAAGCTAATAAAAGTAGATCTGTGGTTTTCTTAAAAAATCTGCATACATTGAACAAATGTAAGAGTATATAAAGGGCACAGAATGTTTACAGGTGGAGCAACCTATGTTGACAAGCTGTGGAGTAAAGTAAATAGGCTAATGTGCTCTAATTTGACTAAAAAGTTGAACTTCTCCCATGCCATTATAACATTTCCAGATACATTAAGGCTTTTGGTTATGCAAAAACTCAACACATGCCAGAAAATAACACCCATACTGGACAAGGCTAGATCTCCTGTTATCCTTATTGAAAAAGATATATCAAATTTTGCAGGACTACTACAAAGAGTACCAATATGTCATCTCCAACTCATTAGAGCTAATACCAAGAATAAAGAACATGCCAATCTTTGGTACTGATCACTTTAAAGTATGCAACTTCTCTATGTACCCCTCTATAAAACTTGAACCCTGCTTTTGTGCACTGAGAGATGCCCTTTTTTCCTGCATACAAGATATAAATAGGCACCATTAACAGCTCCTAAATCTAACAAGTGATTTAGATATTAAAAATTAACTCTCACTTTCTTGTGCGAATTCATCATAACTTGCCAATAACAGATTATGTGTGCAGTATAATTGATTATACTGGATAATCCATTAAATGAATGAGATTATCTACCCACTTGCAATTGGGACAGTATTAAATATATACTTTTGGTTAAGCTTATCCTTACTACATGTTACTTTGTTTTATTTATTTATTTTAACCACTTCTGTAAAAAAATTTATTTACTTGTGATGTTAAATTTTTTATATCAGTTAAGGTATATAAAAAATATACTTTGAAAATATAGTAGCCCCTCATTATAACGTCTAGTCAGATATATTACACTTGTTTTTAGTCCCCCAAATTTTAAAAGCTCTTGAGTCAATAATAATTAAATTATCAAATGCCAATGAAGTTTCTTTTGCAACAAAATAGGGTATTTTATTCCTACCATTGTCCTTGAAACTACCACTGCAGGTAAACAATAAATTTGTCAAGATCTAAATAAACAAAACAGATAGACAGATTATTAATTCTTTCGTCCAATGGTTCTTTTTCTTTAATTAATATTTCGAGACAAAGTTTGCCTAAACGGGACCATAATTTATTAGCTTTGTGTTCCAGACAATACAATCCTGGCAACGACCTTCCTTTTCAGGCTACTAGCTGCTAAAACGCTAAAATGTCCTTTTAAAAAACACAAAAATTTCCAATTAAAAAATATAAAATTTTTCTAAAATAGGAACTGGTGTATACGAACGTCTTCTTGAAACCATCTAACCTTTTTGGGGTGTTTTGGCTTTTTATCTACAATGAAGAAGTGCTGGAAAATGTAGATTTAGAAAAGCATCCCCTGGTGATGATATTTTGTAATTATGATTCTTAATTTGTCTGGAACACAAAGCTAATAAATGGTGATCCTGTTTGGGCGAACTTTGTCTCAAAATATTAATTAATAGGTGGACAGATTAATTATCATTTATGTTTTCTTTTGATATTAAAAGTTGTTTATTGGTTTTAATTAAGTACTGTCTTCTCATTAACAAGTTTCTGTGAAATTTCAAACTCATTGTATAATGTGTAAGGAAAATATTTCTTTATTTTTGAACAAAAAGTTCTGAAATTTTTACTTTGTAATTTTATAAGTTTTGACGTTCTATTATATGTTAAATATTTAGTTTTTAAATTTTGGATTAATAATTTTTATTGAAAAATATAAATTACGTGAATTTTTAGGCAAATTACATGATTTATTATGAAACACAGTACTGTATAATAAAATCACAACTGATATTTTGTGTATAAACTGTCTATACAGTATATATACAGAAATGAAAACAGTAAGGACATAGAGGTAAAAAGAATTGATATATTGTTTTTATATCAACAGTATTTGTCTTTAAATGTTAAAGAAACAATAATGGTAAATGGGCATTCATGATATCAATGTTTATGTAAACATCAATTAATATGATATAACCACGAATAAAATTCAGTATTGAGAAACTAAGCTATTTTATATCAAAGACACTTACTTTTCAAAATAGAAGAAGTTTTATTCCAAGCAAGCATCGCAAGCCCTCTAGGTTAATTAATTTATGCTGCTTGCTTGGAATAAAACTTCTTGTATTTTATTTTAAAATGATAGGCAAGCAATTCTGTTAAGAGCACTGGCACTGAACGTTTCGCTTCATGCAGTCTATTTTGCAACTTTTTTAAAACGATGTCAATCCCGAAAATCTCTGGATCAGGAAAACTTAATCCCAAAAATTTTGGGACTGAAAAGTGGTTGGGATCCCAGGATCAAATCCTCTAGTTTGGAACCATCTGTATAAATATTAATCAACACCTCAGTGTATAGATTGTGGAAGTATCCAGGCAGCTCATTGGGGTATGTAGAGTTGTGGAAACTGATGGGTTTCTCAAGGATATCAGGATGAATAATGTTTGTGCTGGTTTGATATTAGGATGAGTGATGTTTGTATCCCATTTGATTCTCCAAACATTCCTGAACAGTTTATCAATGGGTGGCTTCTACAGATCACCTGGAGGCGGAGTTGGGTGTAGTCCAATAAGCCTTAGCAATATGAAAAAGGGCAGTCCTCTGAGCTGAGATAAGTTTTCTGTGTGGATGTGATTCCTGCCCAAAGGTGGTGATGAGGAATTTATCAAAAGTGATATTCCATAGTAGGGGCCCATAGACAATCCTGTGGGCAGCCACGAACAATCCATCTTTGTAATGTAAGAGATGGCAAAATTGAAGGGCATCTTTTCTATCACAAAACAAAATACAGTAATAAAAGAAGTTTGGGTTCATTTAACCCATGGGAAAAAAGGAAAAGCAATGGACATAGATTGTCTTGCATGACACTGCTTGTGCCATGAATCAAAGACTTTGTAGTCCTATGAAGCTTAATAGTGTGTATGATTGTTGCAAATAGCAACACATATTGCACAGTGGTTTGGCATGCTGTTTATAATATTTTCCAGCAGTTCCTGGGGTAACAAATCCACTGTTGCACAAGTACTTTTCAGAGCTCTGAATGGTCCATCATGATGGAAGATGTGTTACAACCCTGCAACCAAGGACTTCCCATATATGTTCTATGGGGTTCTAAATCCAATGAATAGGGTTGCCAGTCCAGATACCTTTTATTTTCAGATTCCAGGTATTCCTGAACCAAACCAGACTGGGGGCAAGTACAGTAGAGCATCGATTATCCAAAACAATTCAGGACTGGGATTATTCAGATAACTGATCATGTACGAAAAAATATATTAACCTATTCCATGTTGAAATTTTTCTCCATTGCGTGTTGCTTTGCAATGAATTTTTGTCGATGTTAAGCCTAACAAAATTTTTTTTTAAAATAATAATCGTGGCTATTGTATCGTTAAAAATTATTTCTTTATTTTTCACAAACAAAATAATATTTAAAAATATAAAAACAAAAACAATTATATTTTGGAAGTTAATCTAGTATCAAAAACGTTCTGATTCAGCACGACACACATCCTTATACACAGTCCTCAGAAAAACACCACACAAAACAGGCTAAACTCACCACTCACAATGGGAAAAAACCTTGTTCAAATACTGGCATGTCTTTAAGTACCCTCTCGTCGTTGTATTAGTGCTGCCAGCTAAAACACAGACACCAACAAAAATAATATTCGAGTAGCCCAAGACATAGCCTAATATTGCAGTGCCACAGCACTAGCGGAAATTTGAATTTGCCGACTGGAACGCTTTTGGTATTCAGATAATCAATGCTCTACTGTATTATTGTCCCTTTCATTTTAATGTATGATAATACTTACCTGGTACCACATGCACCTCTAAAAAACAGCACATATTGCTGTGGGATAACATCCCTATAAATCTAGCCTGTTACCATACTGCATTCAAACACATGCAGCACCATACAAGTACCTGACATGATACCACTCCAAATGAAGATTTCTCTGCCTCTAGAATGATGACATTCAATGATATGGATAGGAACCCAAATTTATTTTGTCACTGGCACTGGGCTTGCCATACATACACTTGTTGACTATCTGTGTCTAGTCTGTGGCAGGACTTGTCAGTATAGATTACAATGGCCCATCGTTATGGAATCCATGCAAGGTTCTTAGTACATCATGTTCTACAGATTCTTTTAATTACATGGCACAGATCAGCCTGTGTCATATAATTAAAAGAATACATACAGCAGGTCACCCTGCATACATGCTGATGTCATGTAGTCATCTATAAATTGTTTGCTTGAAATGTGGTGATATTGTAAATTGTATGCTTGATGCTGCCAAGAGGTCTATAAGCAGTTTTCAGCAGTTGGTAACATTTACACATGCAATTTGGTAATTACCATTTATAGTGCTAATTACCTAAACTGGTGAAAAATGCTTTTATACTAATTCCATTATCAGTAAATATACATACATCTACATCATTCCCTTCAGAAGATGTCATACACCATTTCTACTTGCATTTTGTTTCTTTACTGCAGCCACAAATATGTGTACGGTAGAGCGTCGTTTATCCGAATCAATTGGGGACTGGGGTTGTTCGGATAACTTATTTTTCGGATAACCAATTATGTACGAAAAAATATATTAATTTCTCCCGTGTTGAAATTTTTCTCCGTTGCGTGTCGTTTTGCGTTGAATTTTCATCGATATTAAGCCTAACGAAGACTATTGTATCGTTAAAAATTATTTTTTATTTTGTACAAACAAAATAAATATATTGAAAAATATAAAAACAATAAAAAATTATACTTGAGAAGTTAATTTAGTATCAAAAATGTAAAATATTTGAGTAGCCGAAGGCATAGCCAAAGATTACAGCGCCACAGCACTGGCAAAAATTTAAATTTGTCAACTAGAATTCCTTCAGATAACCGATCTTCGGATAAATGATGCTCTACTGTACTGTTATAATTTTACTATGTTAATGTATTACATCTTGCTATTTTTTCTTTACAAGCAATATTTTTATTTTATATATATCCTGTCCACCAACCATATGATAACATATGGTTGGTGCTGTCTTGCCATTAAATACTAAGAAGCCAAAGCAAACCAACTATGTGTACTAGTCATAAAATACACTTCATGCCAACATTCAAATAAAATAATTTACACTTCAGTGTTGCAATGTTAAAAAATTGCAACTTTTTAGATTTTACATGTATTCATTATCACTTTCAATAGCTTATAGCTACCATCCTCAGGCGAAAAAATTGAACACAATTATTTTTGAATGGACTTTTTAAATTAACTAAGACATGTGAATCAAATTTAGAATAAATTGATGGCACAGCTTGGCCTATATGGCCCTTGTACCATAAAACACCAACCAACCAACCAACCAACCAACCAGAATAAATTGAAATTAAAATTGGAATATTTTCAAAAATTATAGAAATGTGCTGCAATTGATGTAATATTCCAAAAAATAATTAAAAAGCAAATCTACAATTGCGGGATTTCTATATTTGGTTTTTAAGTATTTTGGAGGATATAACATCAATTGTTGTGCATTTCTATAATTTATGAAAATATTTCATTTTTAATTTCAATTTATTCTGAATTCCATCCATGTGCTTTAGTTAATTTAAAAAGTCTGTTAAAAACCAATCATTCGAAAATAATTGTATTTGATTTTTTTGCCTGAGGATGGTAGCTATAAGCTATTGAAAGTGCTAGTGAATACATCTAAATCTAAAAAGTTGCAATTTGTAACGCTGCAACACTGAAGTGTTAATTATTTTATTTTATGTGTACTCGTGAATTCCTTAAATTATGGACATGACTGTAATTTATACAAATAAATTATACTTTTTAATTAGAATTTAATTATATAAATTATACTCTGTATTGAATCTCAGGATGATTTTTCAAAAAGATGGAAGTACTGTACTTGTTCATAATATAGATCTAATGCTGGAAAATTTTAAGATATTTATTATTATTCACTTTTAGAAAATTGATGCTAGTAGTCTTTTAGAGATAATTGAGAAGCCCACAAATACAGTTTGATGCCATCAAATTGTAATTTTAGTATGTTCCTACACATCAATTTTTCTTTTTGAATTATCTTTGTAATCTTATTTTATTTAAACTTTAGAATCTATATTTACTACAGTTTATTTTTGAACTTTTATTTATGTAAACTTCAGTTTTTCATAGTACAATAAATTTATTATTATTATATTATAGATTCAACCAGAATTCATAACCTTAAATCCAGAAGAGGTGTCAAGAGTGGATGTAAAAACTCTTCAAAACAAACTTGCCGAAAAAGAGAAAATTCCGGTAAGATTTTTAATTGTTATCAAATTATATTGAAATAAACTGATAAATGTAGTTTTTAATTTTGACATTTGAAATTAATTATGTAATTTTTACTGTCATATTGATTGCTTTATTCTGAAGTTTTTAAATTTATACCAGCTGTACTCAGCAGAGAGAGATTTTAATCTTATTACATTACCTGATGTTTGCTGAGAGTAAATTCTTTATTTAACAAATGATGTGTGATATTAAAAGAAAAAAATACTTATTTTATTTACATCTGCTAAGTAATGCTATATACCAGCATTTTTCAAACTTTTCATATTTTACCCATTGTAAGAACTGCATTTATTTACTATTGACCCATGATATATGTATATTTGTTATGGATGATACATATTTAATTGAATTATATATATACTGTATACTTTTTTAAGGAAGAATATAGAGTTATTACTGTTCAAAAAGAGGAAAGATACATATTTCATGAAATTTAGCAAAAAGACACAGTAAATAAAGTTTTAAAATAAACTTTCATTTTTAATTGAGTTAATGTGGAAAATCCTAATTCACGTAAATAAGTAGTTGTGAAAGGTAAAACATCCCGTGAAAAAAGTTTTTGGACAGCTGCAGCCATGTGAAATTTATTGATTGCAGAATTTGTGTATTTGTTAGCAAATAATTTTAGAGTAATGAAAATTCTGGCATTTCTAATGATAAGAGCTTTTATTACACAGTGAGTGTTTTGAGTATTGGTGAATGTTTCTTATTATATTACATCCAGTTCTCAGTTGTTATAAGTTTAAAACTGAAGTTAATAATTTAGTTATTAATAAATTATAAATTTACAAATGCCTGCTTTATTACAAATATATATATCTTCTCTATTTAATCTTCTCTATATATAAAATACAGTAGAGTCCCGCTAGTCCGAACTAATTGAGACCGAGCCTTGTTCGGATTAGCCGAATAATTGAAATAATTCAGAAGCAAGTGGTAAAACAGGTCCGGTTTCTATAGATCGAACACCATCAATAATTTTTGTTTATTTTTGTGTGTAAGAACTGTATAGGTCTGCTGTTTTAATAGGCCATGTCAAACACTGATTTATTAATTTTGTACAGTATTAATACAGTACTACAATAAAATACAATTTTTTTTGTTGTGAAACTGGTACAAAAAGATTTAGAATTACACAAAAATCTTTTTGTACCAGTAATACCATTTAAATCCAACTAGAAAATACAAAAAAACATATATTTTGTGAGTTAAAAAATTTCCTCTCCATGGACTGAAACATGTTAGGATTAGGTAGACACTTGGATTAGTTGTGTTTGGACTAGCTGGACTCTACTGTACTTAAAATCACATGTTTTTCTATCACCAAAATGAAATAGAAACAGTGGCACCAGGAATCAATGAGTTGTGGTAAAAGTTTTGAACAGATGGGAAAAGTGAACCATGTAACCATAAAATTGGAACATTTTTCTGTAGGATGTTCAAAAGTCATAGTACTTAAGTTAACTGATTTGAAGAAAAGAATTATTTTTCTAAAATTTGCAGGTTGTTCCGTGTTACAGTTTTGATGAAGGAAATCTGAAAGGAAAGTTTGTTTATTCATGAGATTTGAATAAAAACTGTTTTTTTCCAGTTTATTTTAGCGTGGAAGTACATTTTGGAATACTTTATATTCAAAATTTATTATAGTTTACATTATCGAATTTTCACTTAAAGTGAGAATCAAATTTTATTAATGCCTTTGCATAAAAATAAAGGAAAGAAGTAAAATCATAGTTTGGATGATGACAAAATTCCTTTAACATCAAAATTACCAGCAAAAACATCCACAGAACAACAGGAGTTGGGATGCCTGTAGCCAATAGTAAAGATTTTCAGTACTGTATATATGTTACTGTGAAAGATTGAAATTAGAGAATGTCGACACATACAAAATACGTTTGTGAAAGACCGAATATTTGGTTATATTATTATACATTCAAACAATTACCAGTGTATGTCGACAAGTGCAGATAAGCTTTGGTGGAGGTCGAAACGACACCCGAGAAGCCGATGTCGACAGAGAGGCGACAGTTTGTCGCCAAATCGTTTGTGGATAGCCAGAGGTAGGACAAGGTTGTACCTCTTTTCCCGGCAACGGTTTGGTGGCAACCACTTTGTCGCTGGATGGCATTTTTGTTCTTTTGATCCCGTGAGGTGGGGATCGGTTTGTCAGGTCGAGTGGCAGAGGATGACAGGTCGTCGGTAAGGCATCGGTGATATCTGAATAAAAAACACCATTCAGTTCTTAGATCAGTTCTTAATCATGTAATAATGTAATCAGTTTGTAATTTGTAAAGAAAAGTTACTTTCCATAGATGAGATTTCTTCTCAATAAATATTGCTGAGAGAAGCAGCTGCAGCTATTTCGAAAAGTGCAGGGTACACACTGTCATTGCAAAAAGAAGTGTTCCACAAATAAATGCAGCTGTAAGTCAAGGGACTCTTGTGCAATTCAAAGTGTCATAACAGTTTAAGTTGCAATAAATAAGATTGTATAACGTTAATCACATAATTTATGTGTAAGTTTATTATTTTATTATTTTCTTTGATGATTTAGAATGTACTGTTCGCTTTAGGTTCAACAGTTTATTTACATGCACTGTTACTTAAGCTTTCTCCTATTTTGACATATTAAAAAGTTGCATTTTTGTCTTAACGTAATAAAAATATTTTTATTCAACATTCACCATCGTTGCATGCCAAATGTCGACATTTGCCGGTGTAAGTGAGAAATAATGATATTTAACAAATATTTTGTACATATACAAAACAACTGTGTGAATGCTGACATTCACAAGATATTGGTCATTCACAGTAACATATACATATTTTTACACTTTTTTTATAATATAACAAATACAAGATAATGAAAAAAGAATATAAAACTTTTTATAAAATACTCTCCAAAATTTAAGTTAAATTGAATAAATTATTGATATAACTTTATAATAGAGTGAAATGAAATAAATAACAAGATAAATAAGTACTGTACTGTACATGTCAGTAATTGCTTTCAAGCTTAATACTCATTAATTGAATAACATTTAAAAAGTTTTGATGTTCTTTGTAACATATGAAATGTGTTGTCTGGCCAGATGATTAGCATTAAAGTTGAAAGTGCATACCAGGGTGGTTGTTTAATCTTATTATTTGTGTAATTTTACTCCATTAAAGCAATTATAGTTTATTATCAAATGTTGTTAATGTCATATGACCATAAAATCGATGAAATATATTTTTGTAGAAAAAACAAATTACTCTGCTAGTCAACTTTAAAATAAGTTGAAATTATGATGTAAGTAATTCTAATGAAGTAAGTCTTCATAATAGACAATAGTAAAAGTAAGGTTAATGTAGAAAAGATTGCACTAATAATTACAGAATTATGCTTTTAAGGGCAAATCTAATTAATTGGAAGAAAAAGTTTTTTATTTGAATGAAAATACAATTATAAAAATTTTTCTCATTATCACAAAGCAAATTATTTGTATTTATATTAATGTTTTTAATTAAATTGATAAACTTATAATTTTAATAAATAAAATACTTTGTAGTAAATACAAAAATTATTATTTTAGTATGTGAAGCCTCAAAAAATAGATATCGAGCCACGAAAGAAGACAAAGGGTAAATCGTCTTCGGCGAAATTAATTAAAAGGAAAAACAAAATTCTCGATCAAGAAAAAAGGGTATTGTATATATTTATAAGACTACATTTAATAATTTTAAAACTGATAAAGATCTAGTTAAATTTACTTGGGCATTTTTAAAATTTATTTGGTTACAAATGTAGCATTTATTAATTATTTATTTATTTTCAAAATAACACTTGAATCATTTAAATTAACAAAACAAAAACTGTTTTGTGTATATTTCGCATAAATACAGTAGCCCCTCGTCATATCGCGGATTTGGACATTGAATTTCTTTCTGCAACAAAATAGGATATTTTATTCCTACCATTTTTTTAAAACTACCACTGCAGGTGAACACAATAAATTGATCTAGATCTAAATAAGCAAAACAGGTGAACAGTTCAATTATCATTCATATTTGCTTTTGATATTGAAAGTTATTTATTGGTTTTAAGTACTGTCTCTGCATTTACAAGCAATACTGTCAATTCACATAAAGGTGTGAAATTTCGAATTCACTTGTAATGTTCAAGGAAAAGATTTCTTTATTTCTGAACAGAAAGTTCTAAAATTTTTATACAGTTGTAATTTTGCTTTTTACAGAACTTTTACTCTGTAATGTTATAAGTTTTGATGTTCTATTATATGTTGAATATTTATTTTTTAAAATTTTGAATTACTTTACTTATAATAATTTCTATTAAAAAACATAAGAGGGTTCCAACACAGCTGGAAAGTCATGGATTTACATTAGTGTTCAGAAAAGTTGTGGNAATTCCTAATTCTGATTTGATAGCATAATATCGTACTTACTTATTCAAGTTAAATAGTCTTCAGTTTAATTTAGATGGTATAGTAAACTGTATGGAGCTCAAACTCAGATTTTCCTAAAGAATTGTGTAGTCTAATAAGGCATTACAAAATTTTTATGACATTTAAAAAGTTTTGATGTTCTATTATATGTTGAATATTTATTTTTTAAAATTTTGAATTACTTTACTTATAATAATTTCTATTAAAAAACATAAGAGGGTTCCAACACAGCTGGAAAGTCATGGATTTACATTAGTGTTCAGAAAAGTTGTGGAATGTCAGGGAATTTGTTAGAAATTGTCAAAAATTCAGAGAATTTGCTTCCTTAGTTGCCTTGTTGATTTTTTGCTGACAATATGCTTGACTAAGTGTAGCTGTCTGCAGTCAATAAGAATTAATGTGGTGCAATACAACTTATGAAAAGGAGTGCAGAATATTTTTAGGACCCAAAATTTCTCTCAAGCTTACACAAAATTTTCCCAAAAATTTATAAAGTACACAAAATGATAAATCATTTAAGTGGTATTATTTATCATTTTTCATTTTAATAATTTTGATTGTGTAACAAAACAATTTCTGATTTTTTCCAGTTTATTAATATTTTATAAAGTTTTAGAAATTTATTAAGAGATATCATTAATAAATATATACTTTTGTACATGAATTATATAGAATTTGTTAATGAATAATAAAAAAATAATTTTTTTTCAAAGCCATGTAGATTTATGGTTGTGGATTAATAACAGAAAAACATAATTTTAATAATAAATTTAATAATAGATAAATAATAGAATTTTAATAATTTGGCAATTATAAAAAATATATAACTTTTAATTAGAAAAAATAACAAATTGTAGAAGCAAAATAGGAAGTCAAATGCTGTTTTATTTTGTGAATGTGCCATACTTTAACTCTTTCCGTCCTGTGGGCACTAAGAGGGCCTCTTACAGCAAGCCCATTATGGATTCAGCCAGGCCTACAATGGGACCTGACATATCCATAGAGAACCCCCCGAAAAATTCCTGGGGATATTCAACTCGTCCAGATTTGATCCGGATCCCCCAGAGCGGTAAGATGACACCTTGACCACTTCTTGGCCATCCAGCCAAATGTTCCATACTGTAAGGGATATCAGGGTCAGGGAATTTGTACAACGTTAGTCGGGGAAAGTCGTGGAAATTAAAACAAAAATTTGAGTTGGAACTGTATAAATTATAAGAATTTTTAATAAGTGATTTATTATGAAATACAATACTGTATATTACAATTACTTGCATTTTTTAAATGGAGATAATTTAAAAAATGCAAGTAATTGTAATATAAATTATAAGAATTTTTAATAAGTGATTTATTATGAAATACAATACTGTATATTACAATTACTTGCATTTTTTAAATGGAGATAATTTAGACTTTTGCTGAGTCCAAGAAGAGGTTTTTCAGAAAGTTTAATTAAATTATTGTCGGAAAGATCAAGATCACAGTTGCACATGTACAGTACCTCATATTTCAAAGAAGTTGAGTTGATTTAAAATCTTCTGTGTAAATATTAAAGTTTTATTTGTATATCTTGAATTCCTAATTCTGATTTGATAGCATAATATCGTACTTACTTATTCAAGTTAAATAGTCTTCAGTTTAATTTAGATGGTATAGTAAACTGTATGGAGCTCAAACTCAGATTTTCCTAAAGAATTGTGTAGTCTAATAAGGCATTACAAAATTTTTATGAGGATTCAAAATGCAAAAAATTGCAACTGATATTTTGTTTTTATATGGATAGTATATGTCTTTAAACGTCATTGTTAGAGAAAAATAATGCTAAATGAGTATTTGTGGTATCAACGTTTACAATAACATCAATTAATATGATATAACCACGAATAAAATTTAGTATTGAAAAACTAAGTTTATTTTATATCAGAAACACTTACTGATGATAGAATAGAGGATAGAGATTCTGTAGCATGTATAATCTGTTTAGTAATTTTTAGTACTCTGAATTTGTAATATTCTGTTATGTCGCACCGTCAGATATATTGCACTTTTTCTTTGTCTCCCCACAAGCGCAATATAGCAAGGAACTACTGTATTTAAAGAATGAGTACAGGTAACCCCTGTATAACACGGTAGTGTAGTTACGTTCCAAAAAATTGCCGTGTTATGCGAATCCGTGTTATACGAAACAAAGAACTAATACGAAAAGGAGGGTTAGGTTCCAAAAATTAAAAAACATGCTAGTATATTTTCATAATTAAGATAAATATCTTTATTAAAATTTTCTTAAGCGATACATATTAATATAAATTAAACAATGTTTTCTTCGTCATCACTAGAAACACTATTAATTAACCGAGAGCGTTTTCTTTTTGGCAAGTTATCCTTATCCTCTGAGCATTTTTCTGCATTATCTTCAGATCCATGCTTTACCTTTTGCAAAATGTATGTAATTTTAGATTGCTTGCTTCTAGTTAAAAGGTCTTTATAAATTTCCTTATATGGTGCTAAGCACTTATGAAGAATAAAGCAAGTATGGAATAAGGGAAAAACATTCGGCAACATCAGAAGCAGAAGCGTCGCGATCTGGCAACATTGAAACAAGTTTCGAGAAGGACCACGTGTATCGACAGAAGGCGAGAAGAGAAAATTTACATACTTAAGTACTAATAGTTCACGAAAATAATAATTTTCGTGAACTATTATTACTTAAGTATGTAAAAATTTATTACATTTCCTGTTGTACGAGGGTTTTTTCTCGAACCGTGTCAGAGTGAATCCGTGCTATAAAAGTACCGTGTTATATGGGGGATGGTACCAATTCTCGAACCGTGTTAGAGCGAATCCGTGCTATAGAAGTGCCGTGTTATACGGGGGTTACCTGTATTTATAATATTTTGTAGAAGATTGGGATCTTTTTTTAATAAGTAATATTTGTAATCATAATTATTGTGGGCCTATCACTGGCCAAGCAGTTCTGTTCCCTGAACACTGGAAGTTTGGTCGTAGGTTCGCATCTTGCCAGGATGGACTGGCCACATGGAGTTTTTCCGAGTTTTCTCCATATCTGTAATGCCTGAATGGGGGCCAGTTACCCTTAAAATGACCTCTCAGAAGGCATCCTTCAAGGCAGATCGTCCAAGTGTTGCATTGCCATCAGTTAACTAAACAAAGAAACATAATTATTGTGAAAACTATAATAAATTCATCAATTTTAATAAAGTGCCAAGTGAATTTTGGATCATGCCTTCTGATTTCCGGATTTGTGGTATGTCAGAAAGAACACCTTATGACTTCTTGAACTCAGACTAAGTCCGTTCATTTGACAACTATTTACAATATATAGATAGCAACATTTCTTGCTTGCTTCTAACAATACAGTCTTAGGCCAGGCTTGTTTCTCCTGATTCCAACAGTCGTGTTGCCTTAGATATAAGTTCTAGATCTGTTGGCCCACCAATCTGGAGCTGAGTCAGTAGCTCTCCTGCAGGTTCTCCTTCAGTTGGCATGCCTGTCCCAACTTGTCCAGGATGACTTGCTAACTGACCTTTTCCGGAAAATGTGTTCCAACGAGTGAAACTTGAATTATCTTGTCTCTACTCGATAGGCCTCCTTGACATGCCATTAGTTATCAAAACAAAACACTTATTACAGTTATTAGTGAGGTTGCAGCCAAAGTTTTTATCTCTAAAATGTCAATGTCGAGTGCCACAATCTTGTAAGCAATGTTCATGTTTTACAGATGAAAACTTTGGCCATAACCTCACTATTAAAATGACTGTATTAAATGTTACTGGCATTGTGAAAAAACTTAATTGTTAGAATTTAATGAACTTAGTTTGGAAAACTTTTAACTTAATATTGATTTAAAATTTGTTTAAGAATTATAATAGAAAATTATTCAAATTTTCAGTCAAAATGTTGCTATTTATTATAATTATTATTAATTACTTATTCCTTTAGTATTAGTGATACCTGGAGGGGATTACATATGATAACGATTTTTTAAATCATTTTACACATATATTCATATTTTTCTTTATATATTGTATATTCTGGAATGTTTTAAATTTTTTTCATTCTGTCAAATGCGACCATCATTCATTTTGTAAGTTTATCCTGAATAAGGTCGATTATATATGGCTGAAAACATTAGAGAATAATACAACGTGTGTTATTAAAGTGTATTAAAGTGTTTAATACAGTTTTAAGATATTTTTGGAATGCTTTTTACAATGTTTGAA